ATTTATTTTTGACAGCAAAGCGCTTTGTCGTTTCACATGCGGCGAATACCGCGGCGCCGTCAAAACTTATCGTAAGAAAAAAACAAATAACTACGTAGAACTATACATTCCAGTCGCATTCGTTCTGTCGCGCGCGTACCTAACAAAAATAGTTTACAGCTTTTTTTTTGCTTTTTTTTGTTTTTTCAAATGTGGCACAATGCTTTCTAAATGTCCTCGGGAACATACATGTACCATGAAACACAAAATATAGCAGGAAAAGACGAGAATTTAGCCGCCAGCAGCGTTTGAAACTGCGCCTACGCAGGCTGCACCTATTGAAATCACAGTCCACTCGGTTAGGGTTAGGAGGGACGCCGGTGAGAGTCTAGCCTCAAACTCAGTGACTGGGCTCGAAAACGGTCTGTTGCCCCTGGGGTCGAGTGTTTTTTGGAAAGGTGTATAGGAACGCGGACCTCTGCTGGAGCGCTTGCTTAGGCGGAGCCGAACGGATCGTCGTGTCGCATGCAAAGACGGAAATGTGTGTCTCAAACTGTCGCGTGCGACGATCCGGAGCGGCGTTCGGACTGTCGGATCGGAGGATTCTGCCGTCCATGTGTCTCGCGCTTAAAACATGTCTTGGGTGAAAATATGAGCTTGTTACGTGCAGGTGCCGCTTTTTTTGCCTCATGTAACATTGAGTTCCTCGATTCACAACACCCTGCATATTGAACGGCGACACGTCGGGCAAGCGCATTTGTGTGCCAAGCAATCAACGACATCATAAACCCCCAGTAGGCAGGCACATCACCAGGACAGACTTACCAATAGGTAAAGTGTGCAGCTGCCTAATGCAGCAGAAGCTCCGGGGGCGTCCAATTTGGAGGCGGCCAATTTGTGGCCGCCCCAAAATTAACTGCCTCTTTCTTTTTTTAAAATCTATCAGCTACTTTGGGAATTCTAGCTCCAAATCTGGTTACTCCTGAAACTTTTGAAGTCCAAACTTAGCTCCTTTGCGGCCCACTCCCCACGGTCACTGACTATGGGGGTTGGGAGTTGCAGGGAGGGGGGACAAAGAGCAGGGGGCGGCACTGTTAAGGGCTGTCTGAGCGGAAAAATGCCGAGGCTGCCTCTGCACATCACCCTAATAACAGGTTAATTTGAGCCAGTTGTCAGAACATTGGGAGACATTTAGTAGTATGATCCTCTATGTTTTCTCTTTGATCAAGTACAAACCACAATGTATAATGCACCACAATTGAGGAGGATGTGAATCATCAGGGTAGCAAGCACCTCTTTCTCATCTAAATGAGGCTCTTAGCTACTTCCTGTTGAGAAATGGGAAGCACAATAGAAGGCAGGGAACTATGACACCCGACAAATATTAGAACTTGATGCCTATAGAAAGATTCACATCCTCGGTTAATTTTTGGGGGAGGGGAGGGAGTGAAGGAAGGAGAGGACTTGGGGGGGGGGGGGGAGAAGTAAACAAAAGAAGCCTCTTGGTACATAAACTGAATACCCACCTTTTCGTGTATTTTCATATGCTTGATGTAGTGACTGTTACGCTTGGTTTTGAAGGAGCACATCTCACAAAAGTACTTGAACGGCGTCACTTGCTCATAGTTCCTTTTTCGTCTCTGGCCCACTGTCTCCTGCGCTGCTTCCTTTCCTGCATCATGGACATCCGCAGCGGGCTCTGTCCCATCTTCTGTTGTTGAAATGCCCACTGGCAAATCGAGCATCGCATCTTCGAGTTTGGAGCAGTGGATTTCAATGACCATTGGGTCTGGCAGGGGCACAGAGCTGCTATCGCTCTGCCAACGAAACCAAACAAGTGTATGTGAACGGTTAAAGGAAGACAAACCAAATACTCAATTGTACCGCTCACTAAGTGGGGAACTGAATTTGAACTGGATCTATTGCATGCAGGGGGCAAAATATGCCGACAGTCCTGGCAACTTATACGACAAACCCCTATCCCATTCAACAGACTATTGTAGAGGCTGTAAAATATTATGAGCCTTGCTTTGTAATGAAACATGCTGGGATTTGCATGGTTGTCCTTGAATATGAAAACTCGAAAACCAGACCCGGGGTCTGTGCTATTTTACACGAGGCTACAAATGAACAGGTGGCTAGTCAGTGTCTGGGGTGACAGTTAAAAAAAAAAAGGAGCAGAAGGTCAGAGGCAAAACATGCCTTCATGAAGGTGAACGCGGTAATGTAGATTGCTGCGCGAGTATTGTAAAAGCCGTCGGAATTCTTCCGCTTTGAAATCGAACAGGAGCTGTGCCGAGCATGTGTGGTGCAGATGTGAGAATCATAGTTGAGAATATTAAAAGAAATCGCACCTCCTCAACTTGTTCAAGCACACCATCGTCTGCAACCGCTCTGACTTCTTGAAAGGCGTGTTGGAGGTCTGTCGGGCAGAACTCGCCGCAGTTGTTGGGGTCCGGCACAACATTCACGAGGAGCGTTGTGTCGCTCGACAAATTGAACGCCTCCTCTTTAACAGGAAGCTCAGTCGAATCGTCCGCATCGTTTGTTCTGATAACTTCGTGGGATGCCACATCATCTCCGCAAGGGTCTTGAATGCCGTCTTGAAATGCTATGGACAGGGTGACTTCTTCGGGGTCCGAGATCTGGCACGTGCCGATGGCGTCTTGCTGCAACACGTGCTTCTGTAGTATCTCGCGCGCCGTGAGAATGTCGAGGAACGATCCCTGGATTAGGTAACGCAGGCAGGTGGTCGAGACGTCTTCTTGGAGCTTTCCAGGAACACCGTTTTCCTGGAAGAATGTTTCGATGCCGTCCGGAATGGAGCGCAGAACTTGGTCCGACAGGAATGCCCGGACATCGTCGAATACCTGCAAAAGTGTGCACGTTTGTTTGTGTAACGTGAGTGGCCTACAAACAACCTGATGCTTCTTTAATAGTGTGCTTTCCAAATGAGCAAAAAAAAAAAAAGGAAACATTTAAAATTAATGTTTAGCATTTAGAAAAAAAAATCTTGATAGTATTTATGACAATTTATCATTATGGTGAAATAGGCAGGACGACGTCATTGCGACAATGTATAAAAAAAATTCCAGCTGTAGTTATAATAGCAGCAATGCTTCGACAATCAAAGGCATGCGAAAGATAGAAGCACACACTGAGAGCCGGGAATTAAGGTGCCGCGCAAATGTTACTTTGGTGTCTTAGGCTTGCACCATAGGTAATCTCCAAAACTCTGTGATAAGCGTTAAAATACGATTTGACAGAAGCCAAGCAACAAGTGCTCGTATACAACCTCCAAGATCTTGCCGCTTTTTTCTCTTTCTTCCTCTGTAGATAGCGTCGGCATGGCTTTTGATCATAGTCGCCAGAAGACGGGCTAGGAGAAACAGATGCGTCTTCTGTTCGTGTGAAGCCCTGTTGGTGCCCCGAAAGTCTCCGCCCAGCTCATATTCGCCCAGCAGTTCGCCGTGAAAAGGATCACACGGGTCACAGAGCGCCAGCACCAGCACATCGTGAGGAGCGCATAAGACGGCCGTAGTCCCTGCAACCGCGACGTTTCGGTAAAGCCTTTCCGAGGTCGTTAAAATTACCACGGTTATGACAGTCACAACAGACGTGACAGCTAAAACAGTTGCCAAAGCGGTAGGAGTCAAACCAAATACTTGCGAAGCTGCCAAAAAAGCTGTGTTGGTCGTCTTCGATAATTGCGCGTGCGCTGCGCTTTGGTGGGTTGCTTTCAGTGTGTTCCTTGATGCGAGCTTAGACGATTTTCACCCAATTGTGACGTCATGGGATCGTTTTAGCTGCGATAGGCGCCACTGAATGATAAAACGCGCTGAGTTCTCGGGGTGCGTCTTATATGCGCTTCATGTCAAGAGTACATTTTGTTTTAAGGCAGAACATTAAACATAGACTAACGTGCAATAATTTCGAATTTTTTTCCCTCTAGCATTGTGCCAAGCTGACACTACAGAGTCGCTTCCAAATTAAAATAAATGTTTTTAAGAGAGAAAGTATGCAGGTGAGCTCAACGGGAGAGCTGGTAGGGCCGGTAGGGCGTGGAAAATTAATACAGGGAGCATTAAAAACACTAAGCAAAAAGTGCACACTTGGTAACGCCCTACTGAACGTTGCGCTTTGCGCGCTTGGATTGAGTGAAATAAAGGCAGACAGTGGAAGCGTGGGTGTCCTGCGGAAGGCAGATTGAATCTAGTACACCGGATAAAGGAAACTGCCGCGATCGTGGCTACGACGTTCGATTGAAGCTAGAATATGCGTTGTTAACTTCAAATCCTTCCAATTACGTTTCCAAACGCAACCAGACAATTCAAAGGAGGCGGCATGCCGGTGACGTGACCGCACGTCTCCCACAGAAAAATCGAAGGCTGGAAAACCCAGAATTCGCGACATGCAACACAGACCCAAAAAAAATTGTTATGTGGACCAATAGAAGCAAATACTGCTACCGCCTCAATATATATATATTGTTTCTTTTTTTCTTTTAATAATGCCAAACAATAAATTACACAAAAGTCCCGTTACAACCGCCGACGCGCGCGCATGGCTCACAATTGTTTTTATTTGAGCGGGACAAAAAACAAAGAAAACAGCTGCCGCCGTGTTTTCGTGGGTCCTCCCGGGCTTGACACCAAAGAGAAGTCAAACCCTTTTCGGGGTGGGGCCAAAGCAGAGTCAAAGGACAGCGGAGAACCCGTTTTTAGAACAGCGCGACCACCTCAAAGAAACTAGGTGCGTACGGATGGAGGGCGGTACGTGGGCGAACGAGCAAAGTTGCCGGTGTCTCCTTCCGCAAAACAACGACACGAAATAGTTCGCAAGACAACGCCAGATCTCTGTACTCCCCGTAACAAACTCGTGAAAACTTTTCTCATTCGTTACTCGCGCGTTGGAGTTTATAGCCCCGTTGGTCTTGGATCAAGTTACAAGTTCCTGTTTCGAGGTGACACCGCGCAGACGGGGAAACAGCAGCGCGGGCGCCGTGAGCAACACACTTCCTGCGTGACGTCACTGGGACCGATGAGTCCCCTTCCTTACATAGGCAACTGGAACTGTTCAAGTGCCTTGTGTTCGTAGTCCTGCCTTGTGTTTCGGTGTAGTTTTGCGATGTGCTTTTCCTTTTCCTAAATGACGTGATACACGGGTGGATTCGAAGACGCACCGCATCGTGCTTTTTTGGCCGGTGAGTTTTAGTGCTACGGCGAGTTTTGTTTTCGCGTAGCCGATGCTTCGCTAGGCACCTCTCCCGAGGTCGCCGCCGTAGTGCCAGTAGTGCCATGTGAAACTTTGCAATGCTTTTGTAGACAAACCTCAGACGAGACCTCGCCAGGTTTTCTGAGGGCGTCCGTGCTTTAACGGAAGGTTCTGTTAAACATTTTGGAGTTGCGTTAAGGGTGATTGTTAATTTTATTGCCGAGCTTAGAACTCTGGGGTCGAGCGACGAGTAAAACGTAAACAATGGGATGGGCGCATCTGTGATCCATCTGTTGAAAACTTCGAAGTTTGGAGAATCGTGAAGAAGTTTGAGCTCGGGAACGGCGGCTCTTGTAAAAAGGGAAGCCTCTGAAGTAAGTTTTTCATCTGGGTTAGCGTTTAAAATACCTTGCCATTTTTTCATATATATATATTTTTTTTTTGTGTGTGTATTTTTCTTGTCGCTTCTCGTTGGTGCGGTTGAACTTCGGATGGGTGTGGACGCGTTTTGAAATCTGTGTTCAGATTATTTCCTCGTAGCCGTTAGGTACGCAAGACGGTCATTTGATGACTAATTTCGATGGTTTGCGAGTATGTGGGTTCACTCATTTTATGTCTTTGATTTCAGGATTCTTTTTGTAGAAAAACGGAAAACAGAAAAAAAAAAGTTTGAAGTTCTGCCAAGATGATGTTCAACACCGCCTGTACAAGTCTGAGCTTACTCCTGCTTGTCTTTGTTAGTACAACACACTGCCAAGTGAAACAAATCACTAAAAGTTCCAAGAAAGGTAGGTTTTGTCTTTGAGTTCCTCGTTTATTGCTAGTTTTCTTGTTTTTTTTTTTCGATCTTGTTTGTGTTGTTGCTTTTTTTGGCTTGGTAGCAAGTTTAGCTGATACATGTTCATAGTTTATTCTTATGTTGGGAAAGAAAGCCCTCATCTTGAATCTCCTCCTTCTAAATACTGCTACCTTTCATTGTGTGGTCCTGATATCTGGTCTTTGTTGACACTTTCCATCTAAAAGCGTAGTCTGAACTTATACCATTTCTCACATGCTCGCGCTGCACTTACAGGAGCAGTAATTTTACAAAATAAGTTGAAACGACCGAGCGACGACTGAAAGATAGCTGTGGCGGGGCCCCTACGAGAACGCTTGCGAGATTACAGTGGTATAATATTCGACTCAGCATAATTAGGGTTCAAAACTGCACCGTTGCCTCTCACAGGCTGCTGCTTGGCAAGCTTCTAGTTATCATCACTCTTGCTTGTTCGGACATAGGATAAATGATTTGTCTAATGCAGTGACCACACACCTAGATTATAAAGGCGGCGACAAGCTCGGCTAGGTGCTAGCAAAGAGTGAAGCTGAGCCATATCAAAGTTCTCCTAAAACGTGGAAAAGGAACTGGCTGAGTCAGATAGCAGTCGCCATTTCACTCTCATTCGCACGCTGCCCCTCTTTGATAGTTCAACCTTTTGGATCGAGGAAGCGCCACCGGTACAATTTGGTCATCCCCCAGTCATTTCAGCTTACATTGTCCACGGCTGTACACACATGGAGCGGGACCACCTTTGGAGGGGCTCAACTGAGCCTCTCTGCTTTTGCAAGGCATGTAGTTGGGCTAGTTGGTGGTACATACTTTTTGCGCTGTTCCCTCCAAACTCTCTGCTTTTGCTTCAGTTAAAGGGGCACTGACACATCAAAATCGTATTTTTTTTTATTATCCGAAACGATGCCGGAACATTGCCCTCAAAATTTGAGATTTGGGAATTCAGTATTCGTGAAGTAAAAAAACAATTTCCAAATGCCGAATTCGAAGTTCCCGCGCAATCGGCGCCGATGCCTTGACGTCAAAAATTGAGGAGACCTGAGAGTCCACTTTCCTGTCACCACTCCCTGCTGTTGCCATGGCGACCCAAAGCGAGGAGGATAGGAGCGAGCGCCGGCGTTGCGGTGGACCGGTTTTGAGCGGTGTCGCCTGTTTTCCGTTGGAGGATACAAATCCAGGAGACGGCACCACAACGAACTCCCGATTTTTGGTATTTCAAAAAGAAGGGCCGTAGTGCGTTCGCAATTGCGTTAAAAAACATGTTTTAGGATTGCCGTAATTAAATGTTATAGAGATGTCGCCTACAAAGCTTCTAAATTTCCTGATTTTTGACGTCACCGATCAAAAGAAGCGAGGAGGCGAGAGGCGGGAAAATCAAACGCCAAAAATAAAAAGGCGCGCGCGCGCGCGTGAAATTTTTTTTTCGCGCTGCGGTTTCTTTTGCGTGTCTATGACTACAACTTGCATCGTTTTAGACAATAAAAATAAATACGACCTTTGGGGTGTCAGTGCCCCTTTAAGCAGTGTAAAAAGTTGCCAGAATGTTTTCAATAACACACAAACTTAGCCTGAGAGGGTTTAAATGTTACAGCGCTACCCATTAGCATGAAACCGTGCAGGTGGACCGGAACAAAACATTAAGTGGCATGAAACAAATTCTGGTCGAGTGATAAAGTATACTAAACAGATTATGCTTTTTAATTCCAGCGCCAGAAAAGCTCCTGAGCAATCCTTGCAGCGGCAGGGAAACATGTCATGAGTGCTTCACATTCGACTCTGACTGTGGGTGGTGCTTGAAGGAGGTAAGCATAGCCACAAAAAAGATCAAGAGAAACCTTTTATGTTGGAGTGCATTCAGCTTGAAATTGCTTCAGCCAAAATCCAATCCAATGATTTACCTTTATTTGTGTAGTAAATATTAGACAGCTGCCAACCTGTGACATTGAGCAGCTGCACCTGTCATAACTAAATGCTCTATTAAAAAAAATTGCCAACATTTCTAGAAATGTGTGTTATAATCTCATGGCTTTGTTTCAGGGCTACACAAATGATGGAAAGCCGAGATGTGATACTCTCATCAACTTGGCCGAGTACTGCCCTAACGACTACTTCCACCCCAAAAACACAATGACTAAAATCACGGTATGCCTGTTACCTTCCAAATTTTGTCGCCATCATGGTGCTTGGGTGCTGCGACACTTGTTGTTTCTGCCCACTCTGTCCAGGACTCCGAGTTGAGCAACAAGGGGGTTAGAGAAGGCGAGGCGATTCAGATCAAGCCACAAGAAATCAGGCTCAGATTGAAGCCAAGTAAGTCATCCTTCCAGAACAGTCTGATCCTCTGGTTACACTGGCATTGAAAGGCCTTTCACAAAGCATTTATGCATACTATAAACGACTGAATTTTCACGAGGACCTAATTTTCGCGAATCGCCTACAATTCGCGAAAAATATGTCCTGCGAACAATTCGGGCAATCATGTGAACGCTACGGAAGCTACACTCGATTCGCGAAAATTAGAGCCCGCGAATAATTTCAAATTTTCAGCTTGGGCCCGATTCGCGAAAATTTGAGCCCACGAAAATTAAGTCGTTTACAGTACCTATCTCAAAGTTTTTATAAAGATGTAACAAAAAAGTGCAACAATAAAAGAAAAAGTTTTTTTTTTAATGTAGCAATTGTTCCTGGTCTTTATACCCTAGTCTCATCCAATATCGACACTAAATTCTGTTTATTTTATAAGTCTTAAGGCTGCCTGAGGCATTTATTCATTAATCACAATAATGAAATCAGTCCAACCCAGAATAATGAAATCAGTCCAACCGAGAAACAAGAGAATTTATTGGTTCGAAGAAACTTAGAAAGCAGAGTCGTGGGAACTGAGACACCACAAGTGATTTTTAGGGTCTCGGATGTTTGAAAATTTTGACAATCATGTCGACGTGGGTGCTAAGATTATCAAAGTTAAACACAAGAGGAATTTGCAGCCCTGCATCAAAAAATTGGGCAATGTCTTGACACAATATTCTAAAATATCATACGAAGCAATGGAAGTAAGCCGATAAAATCACTCTTTTCAATGCATTACATATTAAAGGGATAGTGAAGCGAAATTTAAATTTCAGAAAACAATCCTGGAGCTGTAGGCGTGACGCTACAATCCCTACTACACTACTGCCGAGACCGGTTATAATGAATTCAACGGTAATTGGAAATCACTTTGCTATATCTGCTATTTCGTTATAACCGACTTTATTTAACGAAGTGCAAAAGGGAACGGGAAATCGTGATCACTTTGCTGTAGCCGCTCTTTCGTTATAACCGACTTCGCTATAACAGGTCTCGACAGTACTCGTAAGGCGATATCTTGAGTGGACGGCCATATTTTTGGAAAAAGTGGTCGAGATTGAACAAGGCCGACGAGGCGCGGGACGTCAACATATTTTGTTTTCTCCTCTCTTCGCTTCACCTCCTCAAGGCGGTGAGGCGGAGAAGACGCAAGGCCATTCTTTCTCCTTTTTGACCCTGCGAGACGTCAGCATATCTGTCAAATGTGCCTCCTTTTTTTTAGAAAGTATGGTAATCCGTTCAAGGTATCGCTGTATGAGTGATGTTTTGGTGTTTGTAGCATCCCGTTGCACGCTTTTGCCGCCGTGTTTTGTGGAATTCCGATTTCGGTTCAGCATCCCTTTAACAGAACTTTTGTGGAGATTTCTGCACTTTAGTTGTCTACGGGAAGTTCCCAGCTGCTATTCAATCGCAAACTGCAACGTATGAACCGACCAATAAGCAGAGGGCAGTGAAACTCTTCAGTAATCTGCCTTTAGGTGGTTTATTTGTTGTACTCAAATTTCGAGAGTGTGGGCTTCTCCAAAAAGAAATACAAAGAAAACTTTTTCTACGCGCAAGAAAAACAAATGCAAACAAACCACCGGCTTGATACTGTCACTCACAGATGGCCCCATGAGGTTCGCAGCATCGGCACCTTATCAGCGTATGCCGTTCCACAGTACACGTCGGCATGTATTTCGTGCAGGAAACAACAATAAAACAAACAGGGAATTTAGTAATAAAGATAAATCCAGAGAGGAAGGACAAGCGCTGGAAACGAGCCGTAGTTGGAAAGCAGGCGATAAAAAATTGTTTTCAGCAATGAAGTCTACGTCGCATAATGCCGAACAAACCATTTTTAAAAATTTATTCTTGGTTTCACTTTTAATTTTTAAACTAACGATAATGTAACCTTTGAAGAAACAAGAAGTCATTATTTGGAACGGGAACTCGAAAGGTTCCTCTTGTTGCCGTGCCTGCCGATGATTGCTCCATTCGCGAGTGGCAGCGTGAAGAAAACGGTTTATTTACGTTTGTTTCCTCCGTGTACAAAACAGTTTTTTTTTTTTTTTTTTGAGGGGGGGGGGGGGGATTTGTGTTTGCGAAATTTGGGCACTTATTTGTGAGGGGTCTCATTGCATTTGGTCTATTGGCTGATTTATTGGGTTTATTTTATGACTGGATAGTGCTCTGGATCTTTTTGTAGATGTGAAATGGAGCACTTCATAGATAACACTGTTTCTCAATGTAAGTTCCTAGGTACACAAAACTCCCCAGAGTTTCTTTTTTTTGGCCGTCCCTGACCCTGAGTAAGGCATTTTTCCAGTTTAAGTACTATTTTAGCAGACCTGACCCGACGACTTCCATGACGTTGTGCTCGTGCCAGACTTAAAGGGCTACTCCACCGATTTTTTCATTGTCTCCGATTTGCTTGAAATTTTGCTAAACTAACCAACAAACATCGCGAAAATAGTATCCCAAATATTAGGTCAAAATATTGTTTTTTCGCAAAGTTATTGAATTTACAGTTTTGGTCCTCACCGTGTTTTTCAAGCTCGAAGTCTCTACTGGCAACGGTGAAAAAGTGACGTCAGTGGAAGGCAGGGGTTCACTCTTTGGCCTGTAGATTTTGTTTTAAACTGATTCGAAGCAGTTTCATGGTGTCAAATGAATGCTTGGGAAGCTCGCTGCAGTACCCGCGCTCCAGCACGGAGCAAATGATCGGCATATTCTATTTTTTGGCTGCTTGCTCGACTGGCAAGCCTGCCTGCCACTGACGTCACGGCCCTGAAAAGCGCGCGTATATTTGAATGTTGGTTTTTGCATCATTTTCATTTGCCGATTTCGCAATAACTATTATGAATTTCGCGATTCTAAATAGCATACCGGAGAGAGTAAAGGCCGGGGAGTCAGAAAATATAGTTAGTCGAGGTAGCTCAAAAAATCGGTGGAGTACCCCTTTAAAGGGACTCTGACTCCCCCCAAAATATATTTTTTATTTTTTGCCAGGTGGTTCATTATGGTGTCAAAAGACTACCCAATCAATATTCTGCTACAGCATCACATATATTTTTAATAAAGTAAAAAAAAACGAACTGGACTGGGGAGGAAGAAGAAATACAGAGGAGGAGTGAGGTGGCAGAAGTCACGTGGCTTTGATACTTTTTTCCTGCCAAACAATGCATTTGCTGGTTTTTAGACGCCCCAAAAAATGGGTATCTTATTTCTTTTCTATTTTTAATATTGTGTGCGTGCCTTCGATGACCTACGACTTTGATTATATTTGGTGGTTGTGCCTAAACCTTAGAAAACGGCTCGTGACCACAGAGAAGAGAGTGAGCGCGACTCAAACTGGCCAATTCTCGATCGGTGGTTTTCAGGCGGAAAGGAACTGAATTTCAAGCCGCAAATTCTGTTCTGGGTAGTTGGACTCTCATATGTCATGTATAAATAAAAACCTCAACAAGCATAAATAGAAATACCCTGTCAGTGTCCCTTTAATGTGTGGCTATGAGCCAACCCTCACCAGTATGCACATTATATTTTACATGGTCTGTGGGCTTTTTTACTGCTTAATTGCATCAATGCCAAGATTGGGAGGGGCTCCTCGGCTAATTGTTGAAGTTGATGGGGGTCCTTCGAGGTTGGAAAGTTTGTGAACCTCTGCCCTGACAGGTTAGCCCAAGAGAACTGATGGGCAAAACAGATTGAAACTTTATGCAAAGAATCAAAGTCAGTCTTTTGAGTCTAGAAACTGGTAGGAAGGACTAGAAACGCACTAACTGGACAAATCGCACTGAATTCATTTTCCAGAGTCGCCGTTCCCGCTGAATGTGGAGTTCAAGCAGGCGGAGGACTACCCCGTGGACCTGTACTACCTGATGGACCTGTCCAACTCGATGAAGGACGACAAAGACAAGCTGGCCCTCCTGGGAGACCTGCTGGCCGAGGAAATGGGCAAGATCACCTCAAACTTCCGGCTGGGCTTCGGCTCTTTTGTGGACAAGGTCGTCATGCCTTACGTCAACACCGTGCCCGAAAAGTGGGTGGCCCTCGTGTTTATGCCTACGGCTAGTTACTGATCACCATATCTTTCAGTCTGTTGGTTGCACTGTTGTATGAGTTGCACCCCCCTAAAAACAGCTGCTTTCATGTAAAATCCGGTAAATAAGTCACACTTTTGTATAAGTCGCACGTAACCTGTTGTCTCGCATAATGAACACACTTTTTTTTTTCCGAAAAATTACATAATTGGGGTGGTGCGTTCATTACGCGGGGTAAAATTCTGCATTTACACACTTTGCGCAAATGTCATTTTAGCTGCCAATTTGGAGCAAAGCTAAGGATGCACGGTACTGTGGCACATATCCACTGACAGAGGTGTGTCCATGGCTGGTTGTGGGTGTGCCAAAGTAATTAGCTCTATAAATTGCAAACCTTTTTAGGGCGCTTTCGGCGTGCCTTTTGCCGAAGAAAAAGTGTCCTACGAAGCTCACTCAGCACAGAGAGTGACGCAGCCGTTCTTAGGCCTAACCACTTTTGCGACATCACGGTTCGAAAGTGGACCATAGAAGACGGCGTGTTTGTTGACATCAATGCATCCGATGGACGAAGCATTTCCGTGGCTGGGCAGTTCCTCGACACCAGCTTCGCTAGGCATGCGCGCCGCTTGGTTTCACTTTTGATCACTTCTGCAACCACGCAATTCCAGCCATTACAAGAGCGGCTTGGCTTGGCATGACTTAACCCAGCCGCTTGGTGGCAAAAAAAAAAAAAAATTGGCGGGCTTGGTGGCTAGTCGGCTAGCTAAGATGGACGGAGTTGAAGACAAAGCCGAAAGTTAAAAATGCGTTCATTATGCCAGAAAAAAAAAAAAAAAAAAAAAAATGAAAGTTTCAATATTGATGCTCATTGTGGCGGGTGCGTTCATTACGTGACTGTAGTCGTGGAGTGCTGCAAAGCTAAGGATGGCACATACAGTAGCTGCAGCCGTGGATCTATGCCATCATAGTTTTGGACTGTCTTTGACCTAACAGAAGTGCAGGCCATCGGCACATGCTCTACCGTTCCTCCTTTGTCATAAATATCGGTACTGCACCATTGTATGGTACATGCTCTGTGGAAAACTGTAAAAATAATGGTAACTTACACTCCTCAGAATGTGGGGATTGACTCCTTGGGTACCGTTTGCACGGGGTCATGTGTGGGCGAGACCTTGAGTGGAGCGTATTAGGATCTGTTTCATGTCAGGCTCAAGTTTGGAGTTGTATATATATGCAAGGCGGCTAGCATTCAAGTCTACCCACTATTTCTCCATTGGAGCCAATCAGAGCTGGGGGTTCTGATATCAGTGCAACCCCTGTGCAAGAAGCGGACAAACTTGTGCTCCGCATAGGATGTGGATAATTTTCAACCAAAATTACGAAGAATCATTTTGTTTGAATCAAAGGTGGTGCTAAGTGCCAGTGACCTTTTTCTTGGCAAAGGAAAAGTCCTGTCACGAGACTGTCAATAGCAGACCGCGTCTTGACTTAGCAAAGGTCTTCCAAGGTTGTTTACCGGTTACCTGAGTGACAGGCGGAAATTTAGAATATTGACTCGGGGAAGAGGCCTGCGTAAAGTTTATGTAGCGCTGGTTTACACCAATGAAAGATGGCACTATAGATTGCAGATAATTCAAAAGGTTAATGCTTCAGGGGGTGCTTGGGTCATTAAAATAGTTTTAATAGAAAGTGCTATAGTAGTATTTCTTTTTAGTGGTTTGCCCTGCCTAAAAATGAATACTCATTAAGAACAGTTCATAACATATTGTAGTAACCCATACTCATGCAAAGGGCATGCTGGCTCCTTGCTTCCATTTAAAAATAATGTTTCTCTTAAAAAAAAAAAAAGTAGAAGCTTTTTTTAAGATGCCCTCTTCAACAAGGAGTGATGTCATCTTTTACGGCCTCTTATGGTGGTTTGAGCTATTAATGTGCAACCTTCAAGCGGAGGATAAAAGGTCTTGAACACATCTTTTTCATTTGCTAAATTTGTATGTGTTGGTGAAGTAGATGTAGCATTCCAATTCGTGCCTTGCACATGAATATTTACGAGGCCACAGTATTAACCAGGCCCGAAATTGTTTTATGTTTATTTCTCTATAAAATCTGCGAGTGCATTTTGCCTCCTGTTTATTTGGAGTAGAACAATGTATTTAAGTGGCTTCCGAAGTGCAAACATTGTGATCAGGAGATGTTTTTCGGTGGATGATTGTCCAAAATTAAACTAAAAGATAGCTTGAATTTACAAGAGGAAGCATACTTCGAGAAATCATCACCATAAATCATTCACTTTTTCTTGCAGTGCCAGTTATGAAAATTGTAGCATAATGTGAGGTGCCTCTTAAGTTTACAAAGAGATTACTTTCACTTGCAATTTCGTAACAAGTATCACGTAACAGGTCATCTTCAGATTGAACCAGTCTCATATTTTTATTACCGACGCATGTTCACCGGTGTTTGCAGCCTAAGTTTCTTTTTAATCGGTAGATGCCGTTGATGTTTACAGCATTCATTTCATGGTAACGGCAACAAATACTGCTTATATCATTTGTCACAGTATTTAGTGGTGTCATCATATTGTGGCTACACCTGTATAAGTACATTGCACGTGTCTGGTTACCACCAGATGTCATTTCAAGCACTCCTCTTTTGATAGCAGAAAAGGTAGACCTCATGGCTTCATCTCAGCAGTAGGGCAGATGGTAGTTGGTTCAGATGACGAAATCAGGAGAGCAGATAGAGGCTCCTTTCTCAGGTTGCTTTACCATCTTCCAGGCTGCGTGTCCCGTGTGATGGCTGTGTTGCGCCCTACGGGTTCAAGAACCACATGCCACTGAACTCCAAGACGGCCTCCTTCAAGGAGCAGGTGAACGAGGCACAGGTCTCTGGCAACCTCGATGCCCCCGAAGGCGGATTCGATGCCATAATGCAAGCCGTCGTCTGTCACGTGAGTGCCCTAGGACGACTTGCTTGTGCTCGCGTTGCTAATGCTCTAGTCTGTTGGAATACAAGAGCTGCAATAAGATTGCACTGCGCTCAGTGGCCACCCCGGCCAAGGTGCCTGCAATCTTACGGAGGCTTATTGCGAAGAAGAAGCTGTGTAACCGAAATTTCAGTTGCACATAAAAGATGTTCGTCAAAATTAATCCTCAGTCCTTCGCTCGCTGGGGCGTCACCCTTCGTTGTTTTGGCACGTAAAACTCCCGAATTTGAGTTTCCGCTCTGCCCAATGTTTCGAGGGACGCGGGCATTAGGTGAAACCTTGTTCGTATGGACACCAATCTTTGAGAAAGTGTGATGACTGAACTTTTTTCCTTTCTGTGACAGAAAAATAGTGTCTTTGTACTGAGTAGCATAGTAACTCCATTTCTCTGGAAATTTAGTGTGTGTTTATATGGGGGGGGGGGAGTGACGCCTTTTCAGTGGTTCTTAGTAAGAGACTATATTGGCTCATTGTTTATACAACCAAGCCGAAGGCATGGGGGGAAACTTGCACTGTTTTGAGTTGGTTGGCAATTGTGTTAATTTTTTTGCTTTACACAGCCTTTTATTTATGGCATAAAAATGTTTCAAATAAGTTTTAATATAGCTTTGTGTGCTTTGTGAAATTATGAAGCGTGAGGTCTCCCCATTAACTACTTTACTTGTGGTACCTGCACAGTGACTTGTTTTTTGTCCAGGCATGTACAGATGGTAATTGCATACAATGTTTTGAAGTTCTTGCATGTTCTTAAGTAACAAGCTCTTTTCAATGTGAAACATTCTTTGGCTAGTTGTTCGGGACTTCATGAAACCAGATTAAGTTTCCCCGCCAGATTTTGCGGGCAGATTGAGGTCACGTCACCTCAACACTAATTCAATCCATATTGCAACGCTTGCAGTGTTGCATTATGGGACATCACAGACCTACACACCAATTCAGTTTCTCTGCTAAATTTAGCGGGGGAGTTAAATTGGTGTATACACCTGTGATTTCCCATAGTGCAACGCACGCAGTGTTACAAAATGTGACATGACATCATCTCACGTCACCTATACACAAAATTCAGTTTCTCTGTTAAATTTAGCAGAAAACTTGATGTCACTTAACATGATGTTATGGGACCTACACATAAATTCAGTTTCCCCACTAGCAGGAAATTTAACGTCATGTGACATCAATGCGAATTGAATTTCCCCGCTAGATTTAGCAGGAGAACTGACATCACGAGACCTCAACGTCATTTTAGTTTCCCCGCTAAATTTAGCGTGAAAAACGACATCACATAGCTTTGTGTCACGTAACCTATTAGGTTATGTTAGCGGGGAAAATGATTTTAAATGACTTCATGTTATATGGCTAGTTGCTCCGGATTAAGTGAAGCCGGATAAAGTTTTCCCGCTAGATTTAGCGGGAAAATTGACTTAAGGTGACTTCAGCAGCAATTCATTTTCTCAGCTAGATTTAGCGGGAAGATGACGTCACTTGACCCTCACAAAAAACTCGGTCTAGCTGCTAAATTTAGTGACGAAATTGGCGTCAAGTGACCTGATGTCACATGACCTGTACAGTGATTAAGCTTCCCTGCTAGATTTAGCGGAAAACATACATTACGCGAAACAGATTCCATATCGGTGCAGCCAAGAGGGCGAGCTATCACTAAATGCTTGTGGTGCTAGAACTTTTCACACATCCAACAGTATTGCCTAGCAATTTGCGATGCATTTTTTTGTTGTTTTGGTTGCAGCAAGACATTGGCTGGAGAGAAAAAGCACGGCGGCTTCTTCTCTTTTCCACAGACAGCGGCTTCCATTACGCAGGAGACGGCAAGGTGGGTCATTCAGTTTGCATCCATTTGCGAAAGTTCTTGTAAGCATATTGTAGATAACGTTTCTAGTCTATAAATTATTTATATTATTTTCTACAGACAAAAGAAATGTGATAAATGGCCCTACTTCCTGAAAGGGGACAGCCTCCAGTCCACTTGGATGTTTAATACAGTATAGACCACTTACAACGTAACCGCTTATAGTGCAGGACCGGGTATAACGCGGTTTTTTTAAACCACCGGTTCGCCTCCCATAGAACTCCATGTAATTACATACCGCTTAAAATGCAGGCGCGCGAAGGGAAATACCGGTTATAGTGCGGTTTCTGGCACAGCTTGCCGACCGCGCCGACGACCGGAGCAGCGAGCACGCTTCCCTGGGCGACACTAGATAACGGCGCGAGCCGCAAACGGCACTCGCGGGGCAAGGAGGTTGCTCGGAGAAGCGAAGAGAGGCTTTATTTGCCATAGCGACGGAAGGACGCACGCACGTGTCGTTCATGTGCGTGCGTCCCTCCGCTGCATTGGAAACAAACAACCGAAACGACAGACCAATCGCAGGTCGAGAAGTGTTCGCGCGCGCTGCATGCCAATCGCGGGCCGGCGGCTTCTGTCCGCAAACATGGCGTCGGTTGTGGCGTTCATCTCATCGTTCCGCGTAAAAGCGCTATGCTTGACTGTGAATTTTCGTTGTGTGTCGCTATGATAACCCAGCACGTACTAGAAGGGAAGATCCACCTACTCGTGCGGCGATGTGGCGGCGCTCTCAAGACGGCAGAAACGCCCGTGTCGTCGTGTTTGTTTACTTCGGCTAAAGTGGTGCTTTCTAAGCATTTGTGTTTTCGAACATCGCCCGGATTTCTTATTTGGAGCATTTCATGCCTGTGCTCAAGTTCAAGGTATTAGTGGCGCGTACCGTATGAAGGATGCGAATTTTCAAGCGTTTTCATCTCCGGAGAAAAGTGATTAGGGTTAGCAATCCTGAACGCTCGCAACGTCCGTCCGCAACCCGCGACGCCGTTAAAAGGCTGCGCCAGGCAAAAGCCACTTATTTCTTTCAAAATGTGTGACACACTTGAGAGAGATGTGTACTAGTCTGGTGAAATAAAGACTTTCCTCAAACTAAGCTTTATTTTTCATCTAACATAAAATAAATTCTTTTACAAAGGTAGGTTGTCTCATGGCATGTATTTTGGCCTGAAAAATTGATGTTTTGGTTATAACGCGGTACCGCTTATAGTGCGGATTTTCGCGACTCCCGCGACATACGTTATATGCGGTCTACACTGTAGGAGATTGCACATGTGCCATTGTTTCGCGAAATCAAATTATTGACACACCTGGCATGACGAAGCAGTTGCACCGTAAATTCTGTCATAAGTTACTTACATCGGTGATTTAAAGTAGGGATCCTTAGAGGAATTTTAGAGTCTGCGAAGCCCTTGCTAGTTGGGCAAGCTTGGCAATTAGAACTGTCCTTTCTCGTACACCGAAAGAACAACAACAAAAAAATCTCACTTTTGTGGAATGTTTTTTTCTGTGTATGGGGGGAACGAGAAAAGGCCATTTCATACTCGTAGCAACGAGTTGCGTTAATTTATTTCGTCATTGTCGTAATCGCCCAACACCCCTTTGTCTCCCATCACTTCCGCCGTGGTCAACTACCGCAGCAGTAGGAGCTCCGCCTTCAACTTCTGCTCCTTGCCTTCCGTCATACTTTGGCCGCAAATGTCCACGAGACGCCGAAGTGTTATCGATGGCAGGAAGCTCGCACCGGAGCTTCTCCTAGATTCTTAAACGGTCATAAACTATCATGGATGTAGAAAGCTTCTGGTGGCGACATGGGGCTACCGGAAATGAAGCAGAAAGTGCGGAGAGACACGCCCCCAACGACGACTAAAACCTAGAGACGCCATTGAACAAAAACGAGAGCCAACTTGGCACCAACATCTGTTCTGGTAGCCCTCGGGGAATCGCGCCATGACTGTCCGGCGATTTCTTTGTTCTTTGTTGCGCGAAAACATCTCTTTAAACAGCACGCAGCATCTGACTGCTTGTTCCGCTTGCAGCTTGGGGGCATTGTGAAGCCCAATGATGGGTCGTGCCACCTGGAGAACGGGGAGTACACGCAGAGCGTGCACCAGGACTACCCGTCCCTGAGCCAGATCAACGCCAAGATCCAGGAGCACAAGGTGAACATCATCTTCGCCGTCACGGCCGACCAGATCGGCATCTACGAGAAGCTGGGCAACCAGCTCGAGGGCTGCAGCAGCGGGCGTCTTGAGAATGACTCTTCCAACGTCGTCCAACTCGTCCGGGAACAGTACGATGTGAGTGGACCAACCACCCCGCTTTCCTGTCTTTCGTGACATTAGTCTTTACGTCGGTGTACTTTGTCTCGCTGCGGCCCACCCTCGGTAACTCGAAGTCGCCTTATTCAAATTTTCGTTTGATTTAGAAAGGGGGCTTGGTCCCGACGATTACACATACGAGTCTAGTGATACCAAGTATCACCTCTGAGACCGGTGAATTCGAAGGATTTTTTTTACGTGATTGAGAAGTCCGGCAACTCTAGAGCGTGAAAAACCTCGATTGTGCTGACCAGGCTCAAATCGCATGCGGGCACGCTTCATCGCTTTTATCTACAATGCAGTCAACTTATAAAGATAATGAGATAACCCGAAAATTAAATTTTTATGTCCGATTATCGTTGTATCTGGACTAGATATACTAGAAACTGATCGTTATAAGCAGTACACCTGTTATATGTGACATCGTTATAAGTTGATTGCACTGTACCACGTGCGCGGTCGGGAAAAAAAGAGAACAAGCGCGGCGTGTGAACAAGCCGCTAGGCGGCCAAGCCAAGTAAGGAGGATTGTGGGGCTTTTTGAGTAATTTTCTTATTGATGAAAGAATACTGTAAAACCCTTAATGTTCGCGAGCCCTCAATTTTCGCGAATTTCACGAATTGAAGAATTCGCGAAATTTAAGGGCGTGCGAAAATTTCGGTCCTTAAGATTTTCAATGCAGGCGACTGAAATTCGCGAAATTTAGTGGTCGCGATTATGTCATCTGTGACCGATCCGCGAAAAATAGGGGCCGCGAAAATAAAAGGTTTTACAGTACTTATCATATTATACAGTTAAACCTGGATATAACGAAATTAATAAAAGTTTGCAAAAATTCGTTATATGGAGGATTTTGTTACAGGCAGTTTTCGTGGGAAAACTCGTAAAGGACCGGTGGAAAGAAAGCGAAAATTAAAAATCCACGTGGGCAAACTAACCACGTCATTTATTTAGTGGAAAAAAAAGTGAAAGCCGTTTACAACTCTCTGTAACGCCGAATTAGAGCGCAGCTCTTGAGGAGGGAAGGGTACTGGGGGGGGGGGGGTCAACTGATTGGAGGGGGTCACGTGTTGATGACAATGCCGATGATGTCATCAGTGACGTCACTGATGACATCATCAGCAATGATGACAATGCGGATACCGATGACGTCATTAGTGACGTCACTGATGACGTCACCAGTGATGATGACGATGCAGATGCCGATGACGTCATCAGTGACGAGGATGTCATCGGGGGGGGGGGGGGGGGGGGGGGGGGGGGTCACGTAACCTTGGGGGGTCAGGTCACTTTGGGGTGACCTTGGGAGGGGGGGGGGTCACATGACCTTGGGTGATCTTGGGGGTCATGTGACCTTGGGTTGACCTTGGTTATGCCGATGGCGACGGCAACGCCGCTCAAGCCGGAAACGGGCGCCTAAGAGCTGTGCTCTAAAAAGTCTGTAAGCTTGCCTTGCGTCTTTCGCGCGAGCGAAGGCAACACGCAGCACTCAAAGGACACCAAAGCGTTTAGAACTCTGTAGTCGTCCTGGGAGTCGGCGACCCGGCATAATAAATACATCGATGGCATTCAAGACCTCCCTCGCTGTAGGCACCAAAGGCTGCTCGCCTTTGGTGGCAATTGGACATAAACATATCTGCATTTTAAGTACAGTCGCCGATTGATTATTCGGACTTTGCAGGGACCGAAAAAACGTCCGAATAATAGAGCAGTCCGAAAAATCAGCAGATTGAAAAACTTGCCTTTATTACTTCCAAGTGGGCTTAAAAAAAGCTGTAAATAGTGCTTTGTTTCAGGTTACGCCTCCTTTTTTTTTCGGAAACTTTCTGTTAGCTTGAGAATCGCTGCCTTCTTTTCTAGCGTTACGGTCGAGTACTTTCTGCGCTTCTTGATGACACATTGCGGCGGCAGAAAAACAGATGGGGCTATGACGCCCAAGCCAGCGTTTTGCGAACGAGATAAGAGGCGCAAAATCACGTGCGCAAAATGGCGACTGGTGACGCAAAGAAATGGGAAAAGCAAAATGATAATGATGATGATGACGTGCAGCTAAATGGAAGAAAGAGCTAGCATAGCGTCACCTAGCGGTAGGACTCGGGAGTACTCAAGTAGTGCCAGTAGTGCTGCCAAACCAAGCCATTCCATCTGCAGCCAACATAGAATCCGAAATGGCCGCTTCTTGATGGTGTTTTCCGCTGATCGGTCGCGACGATTTTGTTCGAATAATCGAACTTTCGGACTTCAAGCTGTCCTAAACATTGGTCGTGAATATACACTATTTCTATGGGGTAAGTCACGGTTTCGCCTTTAGGTCCGAAATATCGAACAAATAAAAAATTATCGAAGTCCGGAAAAAAAAAAAAAAGGAGATTGCGGCAGAGCGAGTTTGTTAAATCAAGGTTATTCAGTGCGAGCGCTTCGTGTCATGGAGTTCACAAATACAAGCGCTTCTATGAAGATCGCGTCTGGGAATTGAAAAAGTTTGTTAAATAGAGGATTTCGTTGTACAGTTGAACCTCGATGTAACAAAGTCGGTAAAATTCGCAATTTACTTCGTTACATTGAAATTTCGCTAAATCGAAATTTGGCTTTAGCATGCGAAAAAAAAAAATTCCGAAACATTTTACGGGTATGAAAAACTCACCGAAAATGACATTTATTTAGGGGCAAAGTAGTCCGCGAGTTTTGCTTGCGCCTTGTCCGACAGTAGCAGCGGCGTCGGCGGCGTCATACGGCGTTCGAGCGCCCTGAGCGCTTGCACGGCATCTTGCTGCCCATGCGACGCCGTGTACCTCCTCAGTACGTCCATTGCGTTGAGCACTTCCCGAGTGCTCATGATCTCGGCAGTTTCTTCCGGATGGCGTCCAAAACATTTGCTTTCTCATCCAAAGAAAGAACTTTACGTTTCCTTATGGCAGCAAGCACGTAAGTGAACCGCCCGGTTAAAAAATAAAGCTGTTTAGTTTAGGCGGTGCCAATGTTTCCAACCTACACAGCACTCTTGACCGCACAGTTTACTTGCCCCCTTGCGCCCACAGTGTCAGTGTTGCCAGACGGAGAAAAAAAAAGTCAGCAGATTGATCTCCAAAAAGTCAACAGATTTGCACAAAAATCAGTAGATTCTACGAAATCTGTGTTTTGCCATTTCCATTAAGGGGAGACGCGGGTCTTAAAATGGTAAAAAAACGCGAAATTTCACGTTTTTCAAAATTCACATATTTGGATTAATTGTAGTCTAAGGTACCTGCCTGCAAAGTTTCAATGTCGAATTCAATGTCTAAGCATGAAAAAAATGATATTTACGATGTCCCCGCAGAGCCCTAACACAGCGAGTTCAATGAAAACAAGTGGAACTTCGCGCCCCGCGCGTTTCGCGATCGCTTGTCGGATCGCGGCCATCTTGGTCTTGTTGGAAAGCCGCTTATTTTCCCCACGTCCCCATGCCATTCGGTATCGCGACAACATCGGGAAACGTCTGCATTCCGCGGGTTTCAAAGCCCCAATTGCGATCGCTCATTGGCCGGCTAGCAAGGTGCCCGTACGTCAGAGCACGCGCGGCGCCTAGCGCCCCTGCTATTGGCCTAGACGCGCCCCTCCGCTCTTTTTCTCCTTTCCTCCTTTCCGTTCCTGCGCTGGCGAGAGGTGCGTCGTCTGCTCCTGGGCTCGTCTCCGCCCGTCTCCTTAGGCCTGTCTGCTTTGTTTCCTCCGTGGTCGAGCGCATGTTTTAGTTCCCGTTTGCGCGCTTGCGTTGAATATTGTTGGTTCGTTTTCCTACGAAGTCGCGCGTGTTTTGTTTTGTTTCGCTTCGAGTTCTCGAGATGCCGGACGACGCTCGGTTGAAATCGAGCACGCGGCAAGCGTTCGGAAGGAAGAGGAAGCGACCGTGGAACAAGAAGCCGAAGCTGTCTGCTGCAAGTGCGCCACCGCGATCGGCACCGCCGGATGCCTTGGATCTTCCGGAAACATCAGCTGGAGACATCGCAACTCCATGCAGCAGCGGCAGTTTGTCGAGCTTTGCGAGCGCGGTTCGTGTCGACACCGCATACTACTCCACGGCCGAGCAGGCGCAACGAGTCGCACGATCGGACGAATGCAAGCGTGCGCTATCGGAAAAGTCGGCGACCCAGCGCAAATTCGACCTTCTCGGCGTCACCACAGGAGGCCAGACGCGCGACGCTGGGACACAGTTCATTGTAGTGGACATGAAAGCTCTCAAAGCATGGAGAAGGACAATCTGCGTAAGGCCAACACTGCCCACCAGAGCAGCAGCAATGCAAAGCAGAGGTTCTCCAGGCAACACCAAACTGGAACAGCTGGGGACTACAGTCCTGGACAGCTGTGAGGGGCTCCCCTTTCAAGTGCTACACGAACAAAGGCCCTTTTCAGGGCCAAACAAAATCTGCTTTCGGAACGTGCAACCCTTGGTGCGTCCTCCCGTTGTCCCTTATAGAGTCTACTCATTCTTTTATAACGTTATTTTACATTGCAGACATTATTTCTCAGTTTTATATTATTTCTAAAGGTTCTTGTGAACGGATTGCAGAATTTTTCATCTCAATTTGTTCAGATAGAACTATGCTTCATATTGCTGAACATTATTGCATGGGATCCCTTACTCAATTTTATGCAATGAGTGTCAAAACTTCAACTGCAATTTTCTCAGCTTCGCATTTTTTGTCTACATGCCTAGCCTTACGGTTGTTTTCATGAGATTATTCTTCGAGGATTTCTATAAACTTTATACCGTTGAATTCAGAAAGAAGTGAACTGCAGGGTGATGCTATTTTTGTATGACAGTATGGGCCCGAAATTTTATTATTAGTGATAATGTGACCTCGTTAAGCTTTGTAAATAGTGTACTTGACCTAATTAGACAAGTTTTATACAAGGATCTATCTTTACAAAAATATAAATAGCATCATCTTGCATGACAGCTCTTTAGCTACAAATCCATATCACTTATGCAAAAAAATTCGTATTAGAAAGTTCCTTAATGAGTCGTAAGAAATGACCTAATTAGGCTTCATTATTTTCTTCGTAACTCAAAAAGTAATTGAGATATTG